AATGGCATTAAATTCACACAAGAGCAACAAGAGTGTGAAAAATTTTTCGTAAATACAACTCAAGTATTGCCTTCAGGACGGCTTCAAGTCAGAATGCCTTTTAAAGCTGACCGTAAGTTACTCGGTCACTCCTATGAAACCGCAGTTCGGCAGTTTCAGGTCCTGGAGAGAAGGACATTAAAAGATCCAGAACTTCGTAAAATGTATCTGGACTTTATGAATGAATATAGAGCATTGGGTCAGATGAGCCCAACGAACAATAAGATCAAGAGTGCGCCACACTATTTCATTTCGCATCAATGCGTTTTAAGGCCCGAGAGCACAACAACCAAATTACATGTTGTCTTTGGTGCGTTGAATGAACTTTTAATGGTAGGTCCAACCATCCAAGAAGAGTTATACTCAACTCTTCCAAGTTATACTCAACTCTTCTTCGTTTTCGCTTGCAAAAGTATGCACTAAGAGCGGACATTACTAAAATGTACCGCCAAATAATTATGCATGAAGAAGACAGAAATTGTCAACTTTTTGTGTGGAGAGAGCATCCTTCTTATTTTTTTTTCGTCTTAACACCGTAACATACGGCACTGCGCCTGCTCCATTTCTCGCAACACGGTGTTTGCAAATTCTCAGTGATGCCAATACAATGAAAGTGACTTTTATGTTGATGATTTGTTAACAGGGTCCGAAAATTTTGTGTCGCTACATCTTTTGAGAAGTGAGGTAATTCAAATATTAAAAATATTCACCTTAACGAAATGGTTTTCGAACCACCCTAATTTTTTCGACAGTGATTGCACTGAAAAGTCATTAAGCTTCAATGACAAAAGTTCCACTAAAACGTTAGGAATCCATTGGTTGCCGAAAAAGGATTTGTTTCGCTTTGTTTTAGATGACAAGTTTAATGATCTGCGAGCCACTAAAAGAAATATATTGTCGGTTTCTGCTCGCCTTTTTGATCCTCTTGGATTACTAGCCCCACTAGTTACCAAAGTAAAAATCTTATTGCAAGGGCTTTGAATTCAAAAACTAGATTGGGATGAGTCGATTCCATTGCGCCTTGACACTAGCTGGCAGAACTTTAAAGCCAACCTAATGCAGCTCTCATCGATAAGCATTCCTCGTTACGTAAACGTTGAGTCGAATGCCATCTGCCAAATACATGGCTTCTCCGACGCCTCAATAACGGCATACGAATGCTGTATATACATACGAAGCCAATCTGCYAGTGGTATTAAATGTATGCTGCTTACTGCAAACTCTAGAGTGGCTCCGCTGAAGACCAAATCTCTTCCGCGTCTTGAGCTCTCGGCAGCACATCTTCTATGGTCAAGAGTAGCGCCTATGTTGAGTCGACGTTTCGAAAATATTACATTTTGGAGAGACTCTGAAACTGTTTTACATTGGATTAAAACACATCCATCCTTACTACAAACCTTAGTCGCAAACAGAGTGTCCGAAATTCAAGAGTTGACTGACAAAGTACATTGGCGACATGTGCCAACGAAACAAAATCCTGCGGATCAAGTGTCTCGGGGTTGTAACGTGGACGAATTGAATAATTCGATATGGTTTGGCGGTCCACAGTTCCTCCTAGAAGACCCTGCATTATGACCAATTAATAACCACTTCCAGCTCTCACCAGAAGACGAAGCATTAGAGAAGAAGAAAAATATATTTACATTATTTTCGACAGCTGAGAAAAATTCAATATTTGACCTTATTGAAAAATTCTCTTTTCATAAAAAAATGCTTCATGTGGTCGCATACATATTACGATGGATCAGACGACCACCAAAATTTTCCATGGGACAGGATCTGACTTCAGAAGAGCTAAACTTGAGTTTTTAAAAAATTGCACAGGTGGTCCAACATTCGGCATAACG